AAATTAGAAGCAAGAACAATTAGTGAAAGTTTAAACATTCCTAATGCTAGCATATACTAATTACTTGAAGCCCCTTTCTTTTCTTCATGTAGTTGTTGTTGATGGTGAAAGCCGTTGTTTTAGTAGATGACTCGGGCTAGGATTTCATTACAAGATGGATGGGGACAAGACAATTTGTTTTCAATGCAACATCAGATAATAGTACGAAAATAGCTTACCATGCATTCTCACACGACATTGTTTATGTTGGTGATAACATATTCTTAAAACAACAGCTACTTCGATGACTATGTTCTGTGCTAATATGGATGATTGCTAAGTGGGTTATTAATGTTTACTTCCTGATCCGTTGGACATTTAATAACTCACTTTTGTGCATATACCTTATAACTATGCCACATGCTAGCTCATTTTGTTATGGGTTGTTAATTGCAAGGACCAACATAGGCGAAAAGATAAGGGAGTTGATATATGTCGTCCTAAAAATTACTAATGATCGTCCTAAAAAACAACAAAATTACATTTTTAACTATTTGGCATCTTTACTTTTCCTTTAGCAAACAAACAACACCTTTACTTAGAAGAAAAAAAACACTCATTCTCCCACACTTTCGAATTCATCGACGACATTCTGAAGTCGTAATCATCGATAATACGTCCGAACAATGAGTAGCGATTCCGACGAGGTATAAATCTCGTATTAAAAAAAAAACACCTCAACCGAAGGTAATTTTCGGTTGGTCCATAGTTCAACCGAAAATCAGATTCAGTTGAACCATGGACCAACCGAAAATTACCTTCGGTTATGCCATGGGTGAACCGAAACCCTTCTTCGTTTACACCATGGGAGAACCGAAACCCTTCTTCGTTTACGCCATGGGAGAACCGAAACTGGCGCTCGGTTAAGCCACGGTGGAACCGAAATGGTGACTTGGTTGAGCACTGGTGAAACCGAAATCTGGCTTCGGTTGACGAACGGGCTCGGCGGAATGGAAGGTCACCTTCTCCGGCGTGAAACAGGCGACGACGAGGAGCACGGACTGACGACGACTACTGGAGGCGCGCTTGATAGGGAATGGAGGCGTGGTGGACGGCGGTTAGAGGGCGTGGGGGCGGCGGATCGAACGCCGGCGTGGGGCGTGTCGGCATGAGTGGTGGCGGCGTTCTCTGCGGCGGCCGTCTCTACGCAGAGAAGAGGTCGGGTCGAGGAGGAAGGGAAGGGTTTGGGAAGGGGACTGTTTGTTTGGTGTTTGATTCTGAATTTTAGAAAGGGTAATTCAGTAATTTACGTATTAAGTTAGGACGATGGTTAGTAAATTTTAGGACGACCTTTAACCATTCAGAAAGATAATTGTGACCAGATCACATACAGATTTCTCATATTGGGAATCGCGTTTTAATCAATAAACCATGAGATTGCCAGAGAATCTTGAAGATGGCATGTTTTTAATCAACTACTAATAATGTATTGTATGTTGGCTAATATGGCACCATGATAATTTTTCCCAGGTTTGTTGTTTGGATGGTTTTACTGTTTTCTTGACTTTTATGTCTTTCCCATCGGTCTCTTTGAATGCTCGATTTACAAATCTAATTTATGGATGTCACTAATTCCAAATTAATGGGGACCAACAAATTTCAAATTCGATAGCAAAACTTTTCATCCTTGACCTTTGATTTGATTAGAGTTTTAGCACCTACTTCCAAATTTAGGAGTTAGACAAATCTCGCATGTGTTGAATTTAGATACCAAATACATAACTGAAATATATGGTCCAAACGATGTTCACATTTTTTATTGAATATCAAATTGGTTTTCTTTCTTTATGAAGTCATGAATCCTTTTTCATAAAATCCCATTTTCACGACAAACGATTGTATATTTGAATCAACAAGTGTTTTATTTAATAAAATTTCAAATAAATACTTCAAATATTTGAGATTTTGGTCACTATAATAGCTTGGACTATCCTTTTACGTCATTGTCAACTTTTAAAACCACAAATATTTTTCTTGAATCATATAAAATCAAAGATCCAAATCAAGTAAATCATAAATATTGATAAAATAAATTATACGAAATAGAATGAAATTGATCCGACCAACGGGTCGGGTAAAAGCTAGTATAAATTAAAGTTAAATAAAATTGCTCAAACCTTGTCGCTAGGGCTGGCAATTTGGTCAAGAACTGTTTGGTTTTACCCGAAACCGGACCGTATAAACCGGACCGGGACCGGGTAGCAAACAATCCAATCTCATATTCGGGCTTAGATTTGAGGTAAAAAACCCGGATAAAGACCGGATAAGAGACCCCAACACTCAAATCCCCACAAGTTCAATCCAAAATCAAAATCAAATTGGGACCGGACCGGGTCATGACCGGACCGGATCAAGACCGAAGTGTATCCAATCCAATCTTTGGTATTATATTCCCGAAAAAACCGGACTGGGACCGGATCAATTTGGTCCAATTTAACCGGACCGGACCGTATAGCCACCCCTACTTGTCGCGGAGTTAGAACTCAAAGCTGTTATTGAAAGGCCCAAATGAGAGTATAGGAGGCCCGGTTGGCGCGGATCCAATTATGGGCTTCCTGAAATGGAACACACAGTTTCATTTAGACACCCTTCCGTGAAACACTCACATAACAACATTTTTAAAATGGAGAAAATTGGAGATATGAATCTCCATCATAAATTTTATAGACATGTTTGATGTTGGATCTACAGAGGTTCAAGAGAACTTGGTTGTTCTCATGTAATTTCAGTTGCTGCTAATAAAATTATATAGGGGATTATAAATAAATTAAAAAATATACCCAAAATTACACTGCGAACGAATGCCTCATGAACTGAAAATCGGTTTTGTTCGGTTATAATCTGAATCGATTTTCATTTAACTGTTTAATTAAAAAAATTGCTTAACGCAAGCCGTACCGTTTATATTTTTTGGTTTACCGAAACCACCTAATCGGTTCTCGGTTATTTTGTCGGTTAATCATATGAACTTTAAATTAGTACTTCGATAAGGTTATATTTTAAGTAAACCGGATTGATAACAGAACTGAAGGTCACCTTCATTTTTTCATTATTTAATCTTTTTTTTTTTTGCTAAACACATATTGTGTTTTTTTACATTTAAAAAACATATTAGTTTTTCTAAAATATCATTAAATAATAAAATTAAATCTTTTTTAAAAATGTTCAATAATTTTAGTTAATCTTATCATGTCACTTATTTTTGTTCTTTCTTTTGCATTTTCAGCCAATTCCCCTTATCTCTCCGCTTGTTTACTCCCACCCACCAGTGATACCAACACCATCTCGAACTTTCTTTCTTCTCTATCTCCTCTGTCCTTTCCCATCTCGAGACTCCCACCACCAAGATGAGCAAGATACAAATTTGCATGTATATTCTTCACTCTTAAATCTCAAACTTAAAAAGCGGTCACTTTCCATCCCCTTTCGCTCCATCCTCTTCGACCGAGAGAGCAAGATAAACTCTGTCTTTTTTTTTAATATCAATTTGTTCTTTTTTCTTCTGGCGATAAGAGGAAGAAAAAGCGGCTGGGTTGGTGACTATCGATTCACATGACCATCAATTCATGGCGGAGGAGGGCGATAGAAACAACGGACATCGTTAGTGACCCTCGATTCACGGCGGCAGAGGGGTGGTAGAACTTCCGACGAAATCCCTAAAGCTCCTGAAGTATTGCTCCCATGCTTGTCGCTTGTTTTTTGGTCGGAGTCGCAAGAGGAATTGGTGGATAATAACACGGCCGCTGGTTTACATCAACTCTCTGCTGACTGCTGGGATGAAGTGAGTGGCGGAGACGATTTGATGGCCAGAGTCAAAGTTAGAAGAAGATTTGATTGTCGAAGTGAGAAGGAATTGCAGATTGAAGAGGGAGGCGAAGGGGTTTTTTTGTTTGGTGAGCGACGGAGAGACGATGGAGATAGGGGTGAGTTTTGAATTTTGATTAAATTGCAAATACGGTGGAAAAGTGGAAAATCCAAGAATAGGCCAAGATGATGTCCGAAGGCATTCGGTTTGGCCCATGTATGATAAAAACAATTGGGCTCAGTAAAACAAAACAAAAACGCAGCACTTCAATTAAATGTGCAGAACCGTGAAATGTCTAATCTGCCCTTCCGTGAAGCTCTCAGAAGCCAGAGTTTTTGAATCCCTGCAAAAAGAGCCCATGAATCTGCTTCATAAATTACTAGTTTATTACCCGGCCCGTTGGCCGGATTACAGTATGTTACCCACTTGTGGAATGCGAGAGAAAGCAAGTGAGAGTGAAGGGATTGGAATTCCACTTGATTAGGACCGACCCACTAATCTGATTCTTCCCGACCCGCCCCAACCTAAAGGGTCAGAAAGAGTCAATAAGAAAATACGAACGGAGAGGATTAGTCATATATCTTGACTCTTCAGAAGTGGGTCAAACAGGATCAAGGTTGGGTGAGGGCAATTTTTAGCGCTAAGTAGAGTTATGGGTTGAATAACTTTACTTAGACCTAGAAATTGGTGTTGATGCAGACTGCAGTTTTTATTATACCATCATCAATCACCATTGAATTAGTCTTGGGCATCCCTCCCCGTTGTCGGTCTTAATTCTAATGATGGCTTCATTCCTTGCACCAGCCATATCAGCGAGTTGTCATCTCGAGCATGATTTGCCTATGTACAAATGATACAATTAGAGTATGAAACTGAATTCAAAGAAAAGGAAAAGAGAATTCTATCACATGCCAATAAATACACACATAATAGTTGAAGCTAAGTGAAAGTCATTACTCGCACATCAATTCTCAAAAATTACAGACTAAACAATGGCTAGAATGGCACTGAAACTACCAAGAATCATGGACGAAACAACTTGTCAAATTAAATAATCCTTATACTGAAACTACCTTCTAACTTGAAATAAGACATGATCACAGTTCATACTCTCTTCTCACTATGAATTGGTTGCAGCTCGTCCTTATCACTACCTCCCAAGCTCAATTCAAACAGAATAGAGATCGTTATGTAAGATAACCATATCCTTACTGATCATAATTCCTTTCTTCACTCCATTTTTTTCGGAGAAAAGAGTTATCCCCCTCTCCTGCATTTCCCTTTCCCCTTCTCTTCTCCCTCTTCTTCACAAACCGATCCCTAAACCAGCAACAACAACACAAAAATAGCCTTCGCCTCTGCCATCTCCATCTACTGAACGCGTTGGTGGCAAGACAGGACTGCAGAAGCAAATTTTTCTAAAATCAAACTAAATTTTTTGAAGGAGACTCAACCACGAAAAAAGAGTAAAGCAACAATGCTAATAGTTCAGATGTTTGGTTTTGATGTTATACGTTGCTTTTGTTCTGGTCTCCAGTATATCAACTGCAACAGAGATGTTTCCTCCAATCATCTTTAGTGCACGATTTGGAAGCAAGTCCTCCTGTTTGTGTCAAACGGAAACATTCATGGGTTCTTAACTCCCCTGTTAGTGTAAATGCAGCAGCAGCAGCAAAGAAGTTTGACAACACAGCAAGCACCCAGGCAAAATGATACAATGCAGTAGGTGATATGTGTCTCGAAGATTTTGAGTTACTAAAGTTCATGTTAAAAATAAACATGAATTAAAATGGATTATTCTATTAAGCAAACATCCCCTCTAATCATACAAAGATCATATATCCAATTCACAAACAATTAAGCCATAAAAAATCATCACACATCCACCACCTTTGATTGCCTAAATTTGGTTTTTCGCAAAGTTATGGACTCTTAAGGGTAACGTTCATGGGTAGTCTGTTTCATAACTCTAGAGAGCACAGTAAGCAGCCACCAGCCAGACACAGTGCGGTAGGCGAATATGATTCTCAATTCACAATTTCTCACCACCGGAAGTAAGAACAGACCATAATAAGCATAGCGTTCATGGGTGGTCTGTTTCATAGCACTACTACACAATTTGTTAAAAAGGAAAGAAAGGTATTTAGCATCACGGCGGAACAACTTTTACAGGACAACAACGACAACATGCTGCAACCACCAGAACTGGTATCACAACTCATAGGGAAAATCAAAAGATTTACTCTCAAATTAAGTAGTTACAACATCGAGCAATCGTCAAGCACATACACCATCACAAAAGTCACGGAACCTGATTCACAAAGCATTCAAACATTTGAGGACATTTCTACAAAGGTACAACTTATATGTCTTTTTTCCAAGCCATTTCCATCAACATGCTAATAAATTTGCAATGCATAAAACAAACGGGCCAAACTTGAAATTTAGCCTGTTTGACCGACCCATGCCAAATTCTAATTATTCTTTACTTTTAAACTTTCTATTTGAAAATAAAAAATAGTGAAAGAAAAGAGATGACTACAATTCGCCATTTGCACATCATTTATTCGGGAATAAAACCATAAAAATTCAAAAGGAACTGAAAATGTTTAGGATCGTTTTAATGTTTAAAATAACCAAATAGATCTTTATGTTTAATTTTTTACTAACAAATACCAAACGATTCCCTATAAAATACATTATAATTTTATCATTATGATATCAAATAATTATAAAATATATATTTGAAATGATAAAAATTGGACTAATTGGGTTGGTCGAGGTTGAATCATTCAATAACTTTAAAATACATTATATTTTAGCCACTAAGATATAAAATAATAGCATAATATATATTATGCCAGAGAAAATAGCTTGTTGTTTTAGAATGGCAAACCAATGATGTTCATTTGTTTTACTTGATGACCAAATCCCATGTAGGTCAGGCCCATTCAACTCTTTTATTTTATGGTTAGCAGTTAGCCCATTAGATACCATGCATTAGTTTATTGTTAATTTTTTTATTTTTAATAATAAAAAGGAGTATTATTTTTGCCTTTTCATATATATTTAATCACCACAGAGAAATAAAAGGGCTTAAAGAAAAAAATTGACACTCCTGGACCCGTTTAAATTCGCATGTGTATGGTAAGTTGGCCCGTTCCATAGAGGAAAGAGAAAAAAATTGACACTCCCTATTCTACCCTTCCTACAAACGCTCCTGCATCAAGGAATTTGAAATGGGGGAAGGGTTTTTTCCTCCCTGCTATTATATGTTTTTAATTTAAAAAGATACAACATATGTACTTAGTGTGATTGGTTATTATCCTTACTTTTCTTTAAAATGGTCATGGTTCGAATCCCAGTATGTGTCTTTTTAATGAATAAAAAAAAGAGTAATTGTGAAGACCAAAATGTCCTTCCTATTTTCACTCTCGTTGCAGGAAATTTGAAATGGGGCTCCCGTTTTTCCCTTCGGCGTATTATAAGTATAGTAGAGTAGATATAGATACCTCCATAAGTTAAAACCAAGTTTAGTCAATTATATAGATACCTCCATAAGTTAAAACCAAGTTTAATGACTAAACGTAAAATCCATCACAAATCTAGCAAATTTAACTGCTTCTATATGCTGGTGGATTATGCATCAAGCCCTTCTACTATTCTTTAAAGTATCGGTGCTTTAAGTACAACTTAAAGTTGTACCATAACATTAAAGGTACAAATTGAAGTTGTACCATAAAAGAATTTGACATTTATGTTATAGTACAACTTCAAGTTGTCAAGTTGTACCATAATATAAACGTATAACTTTAAGTTGTACCAAATAAGAGATTTTACAAAAAGGTATATGTACAACTTAAAGTTGTACCATAACGTTAAAAGTACAATTTCAAATTGTACCACAATAGAAAAAATTAAAGCACCTATGCTCTAAAGCATAGTAAAATTCCTCTACGCATCTCACAATTCATAGTTGTTGAATGCATGCAATAACAATCATTTATATAAAAATTATCACAATATACATCCAACAACAGCTATAAGTTATATTATAAAAACGAGATCCCATGACGTCAGCATGTACATATGCTATCCGCTTAGTGATTTACCAATTTAAAAGGCTGCAATAATCCAAAAATAGTTCTCACAACATCAGAATGCAACAATTCCCAATTCCCATCATTCAGTTTCCTTCATTTCTTCTCTTGTATTTCACAGTGATGGAGGCTTCTTCTTCCATGTTCTTGGCCTTCCCAACTTTCTCCTGCTCAAATATTCCTTCCCCGATGGCTCTTCTTCCACTATAGTTGAAAGCCCTTCACCCACGTCCCCTATCCAATACAACAAAGTAACATTTCTCTCAAACCATTTGAAAGCCAAAAAAAAAAAAAAGTCACTTTGTCGCCGGAAATTTTAAATACCTGAGAGTGAAATGTCATCATCAACACCCTTTGTCTCCATAACCATTCTCATGACAATCTCTTCCAATTCCCCATTCTCATCATCCTTCACGAGTAGTTCATCAGCCTTTGCACTCTTCGCAGCAGCAGCAGCAGCAGCGAACAGCCACGTGGCATCCATCATCTTGCTCATCAAACGCACCGCGTCGTACGGGATAACCCCTCCACCACGACGTCGTTCCATCCTCACACACCCGCTCACGTACATTATGCAGTCCATCAAGCACTCCTTCGCCATCCCCTTTCTTTCATACCCCTTCGCCCTTCTCCACAAGCTCCTGTTCCGGCCGTGACAGTTCCCGGTCGTCCCCGCCGCGGATAGCGAAATCGCCCGAGTCGAGTCGCTGATCGCCCCCTCCACGTCACCAACAACCCATCGGCACTCTGCTCTGTCACCATACAAGCACATTCTCTCTTTCCTGAACCGCAACGGGCACGTCTCCAGCGCTTCACCATACTTCACCATCGCTTCCTCCACCTCCCCGACCAAGAAGAAACGTTTCGCCTGTTGCTTTATCAACATGGCCAGAACTTTCCTCTCCTCCAATCTCTCTTTCGACATTGTCCTCTCTTTCTTCCTCCTCCCCACCTTCAAGCTCCATACTTCTTGCAACGTCTTTGCAGCCCTCTCATCACCCTTGAACTGCAGCTTGTAGTCCAAAAGCAGAGCTTCGGCGATCGTTTCGCCCACGTTTGATCTGTAATTACCAAGATTTTTAACCTCGACCAAATCGACGAGACAGAGGGAAGCAAGCTCCATGACTCTGTACCGAGTTTCTCGGTCTCTGAGAAGCAAAACAAGGCAGTCGATCCCCATGTACTGCCAATCATCCGACGATCTCGAGATGTTACAGAGACTCTGGATCACTTGTTCCGACTCAGCAATCTTCTTCCTGCCAGCTTTGTAGTAACAGAGTATCCGAATCAGCCCGATGCCAGCTGGCGAAGAGTGATTCGCTACTCCGCCCCACATCTTGCTCAATCTCTCGAGGAACCCAACTCTGCTGCAGATCAAGGTTATCGATCTCTCTTTGGAAGCGAAACAGTTTAAGAGATAAAGAGACCAGCATTGAACCTGGCTGGCCCATTCCTCAGCTTTTCTTTCCTCCATTTCCGAGCCGCCGACACCTCGCGTGAGCAAATCACAATGGTACTTCAACCTCAAGGCACCGTCTTTGACCCCGACGAACTCCTTGTACACCACGTCAGCTGCAGAGCAAGCCAGCTCCATGGCCAGCTCGACCACCTCACGTTCGTAAACCGCAACTGCTTCGAAGGTGGTCTGGTAGCTGGCGAGGTGTCCCAGGGCTCGAACCGCGACTCGCTGTTCCACCCAGCTGATTTTGCCTCCGAGGAGGTCCAACAGTTGCGGGATGACCCCTGACTCGACGGCCTGCTGTGCGAACTCCGGCTTGTTCATGGTGTAAGAGCCGATGACGTGGGCTGCGTAGTAGGGGATGTAGATGTTTTGGTCGTGCAGAAGCCAGGAGGGAGAGTTTATGGCTTTTTGGATTAGTGCAGCCATGGAAGCGAAGATGCCGAGGGAAGGGAGCTGCGGGTCGTCTGGATGGTGCATGGCGATGGTCCACAGCTCGCTGAGGATTAGGACGTTTTCATGGCTGTCGATGGAAGGCATTTGGTTGAGAAAATTTGTCAGTGATGCTGTTCTTGTGAGTGAGTTCTTGGGGCGTTTTAGTGTGCAGAAGAAGCAGTTGCAGGTTTGGATTGGCTTCTTTTCCTTTTGGTTGATAGAGTACTCCATAAGTGTGGAGGAGGATTGTTTGAGGTTTAGGGTTTCTGGATTTGGTTAGCTAGTTTGGGAGATAAATGAGGTAGGAAGTGGCATGTAAAGTTGGGAGTGGGGAGTTAGTGGCCTATTGGCTGAGTGACACCTAGCTCGTGCTCTGTTTAAAAGGGTTTCTTCCATGATGATCTAAGATTTTATAAGGTTCTTTTTGTGGTACTTTATTGGTGTTTAAATGCTTATGCTCCCTTTTTGTCAAGAATGGTTAGGTTTAATAGCAGTTCTTTCAAACAATGTTGTTTATTGCATCTAATCATGCAGCTTTTGAACATAGTAAATCAAAGAGATGGAACATTCTTCTGCTAGTGCTATTTCAACAAACCTATGAGACTATAAAGACCCAAATATGCATTGCTACGGGAGCTTAGATATGTAGAAAATTGGAATTAACAATTCTTACAATCAAGGCTTTCTTCTTCCCATCCCATGCTTTCCAGGTGCTGCCCACAATGGAAAGCAAGTGGTCCTAACCCTCAATCAGGGCTTCCCAGTTCCCAGACCTGACCTGACCACTTCAGAGCCACTCCACGTTGTTCTTTCCATTCTCACTTTTTGAACTACTTTGTTTCTAGATCCACTTTGTGTCCCAAAGGTTCTTTGTCTTATCCAGCAAGCGATCACACGTAAGAAGCAAAGAAACTAAACCTTCTATATCTCCTGAGGTACCCTTGTAAATCTCCTATATGTTCGAACTATACTTTTTGTGATTCCCTAAGCACATTTTGGCATGAGGGTGTCTACTCTAGTTGAACTCTGCATCTCAGTTTGAGCTCCTGGTCATCATCTCATAAAACCTTCCATGTTGTTCCACGCTTATTCTATTTCTCCTTGGAACGTCAAGCAAATCTTTGACCAAGAGATAACTAAACAACGGACTGAGTTTTAACAAGCAAGTTTTGCAGATATGCCATGGAGTCATCATGCTGTAACATAAAGATTGTGATAAAAAATGATCGAGAAGATGGACTCACTTGAGGAAGATCTCAGGCTGGAATCAAGTGAATGGTCTCCCACAAGGACTCTTTAGGGACATTCTTCCACACAATATGTAACTATCAACTGGAAAAGAAAATTTAGAAGGTTAGTGGAATGTCCTTCAACCAATAACATGGCAGGAGACTGTGGAAGCCTGAAATTCGTGGATGCCAGAGATACAAAATAAAAAGCTGCAGAAAGACCTTGAACATGCAAGCCTTAGCCAGTAATGTGCCGATTCTTCCACTCCCATCATAGAAGAGAAAAAGGGAGCAAGGGACCACAACATGAATAAGGGAAATTGTCCCCTTCAAAACCCTGAAGGAGCAAGTGGTCCAAGCCCTACATTCTCAACTTATGGAAACCTCAAAGAATTAAATATCAGTCTAAAGATTCATAGGACTTGGGTAATGATCACCAACCAGCAACAAATCTAAGAACATGTGGTAAAAGATTAAACAACCCCAATGTGAAGTACAAAACCATTGAAGGTCTCAAGAATATGCGGCTATTATCTAATGCGGTAAAGTTTGAAAAAAGATGTTCGATTAGGTGAATCGGCATTAACAAAACAAGAAAAGAAAAGGGTTTTGGTGAAAACTTTCTTTGTATCTGCAATATTGACAGCACTTTTGTGAGCAATATATCAATTCCTCAGATGCTTCTATCGAATCAAACCCATGTATGTTAATGGGGTTGCAGGCAATACTTGAGACTTTTTTCTCTCTACTATATTGCTAGTTCGTACGACATGCGCAAGCAGCGTATACAAACAAACAACCAAAAAACTATAATAAGGAAACTAGAGATGAGGGGCGGGAACTCACCAGCTAAAGTCGCTTTCTTGATGATCAAAGAAGAACGAACCAGTAGGAAGGTTTCATGATGAAGTGCTGCATTACCAATCAGATCACCATGTATTCTCATGAGTACAGCTACAGGCATCGCGGAGGATTCACAATTCAGAGAATTATTGCCGTGTAGGCTGCGTCGAGCTCGAGTCATGCTCTTGTAGCTAGCTAGGTAGTTGTTCAATCACTGAACAGAGCACAAATGGGCTCGAGACTTTTGAGTCAGAACTTTTAAGAAACACGTTATGTTCAACAGTCACAGTCCAGCCGAGGGAGAGTCTTGTGATGAATCGGGCTTCAGCGTATGTCACAACAACTCACAATTGAAACTGACTGAATTATCAAGATTTGACAAGACGAGGGCATGATTCGATATGATATATATTACATCTTGGATAATGGACTCGCTAGCTAGCTCTTATATGGCTACTATTGCTGTATCAATCACAATTCACGGCACTACAGTTATGGGGGTTTTTGGGTCGGAGATTCACCTGCAAAACCCATCGCTGGGAAGCTAATTTCGCCCGATGGAATCGAGTGAAGGATTGACATTCATTGAGTTGGCGCAACCTGCATTATCCAATTCATACTACGCCTCCGAGTTACAATAGTTGATCTGATAGATGTTAGAAATTTTGTACAACGGTACAAGTGGCAGGATACGGATGAAAGAGGATTGCTTACAGCTTACCCTTCTCCAATGTGTTAGCCTTGGACTTAGGATGGTAATGGGTTGGGTTGGGTCGGGTTTTGCCAAACCCAAAGCCAAATTCATGGGTTTATCTGTGAAAAAAATTCAGGGTAAAACTCACAGGGTTTGAAAAACTCAAACCCAACTCAACCCGCTGGGTATCCGCGGGTTCATGGGTACCCACGAGTTTTTATCGTGAAAAAATTAAAATAACAAGTTCCTATCAAAATTAAAGTCAAATATCAATCTCTCAATACAAATTATCCATATATAAAACACCATTCTAGAAAATTCAAGCAAATAACAAATTAACTATACAAATTGTTCAACACCAATGTAGAAAACTCAAGAAAATCGAAGCAAATCACAAATCATTCATAAAAAACATGATTAATTGAAAGCTTCTTCTTTTCAATTAAGTTTCTTCACTCTCCACTGAATAACATCAACTTCATTCTACACAATTAGAAAGAGAAATTAGACATGTCTCCACAAACATAAATAAGATTAGTTGTTTAGAATATTAAATATATCGAGAAAATTAATTATATGGGTGTGGGCGGGTACCCATGGGCCGGGTTTACCAAAACCCAAACCCAACCCGGTGAATAGTGAGCGGTTTTAAACCCAAACTCGGCTCAAAACCCGTCAACACGGATTTTACCCACGTTGACCGGGTTGGGTCGGATGGTACCCGTGGGTTCGAGTTTTGTTGTTATCGCTACTTGGACTTACCCTCAGTCACTTTTAACATGGATTTAAAAATTATGGTGTTGTAAGTTGAATCCGAAAAATCAGTGATATGATATTTTATGTTTAAATCATGATTTAATCTTGAAAGAGGATTGCTTATAGCCTACCCTTCTACAGTCCAATGTGTTAGCTTGGACTAACCCTCAGTCACTCTTAACATGGATTTAAAAACAATAGTGTCAGAAGTTGAATCGGAAAAATCAGTGGTATGATATGTTATGTTGAAATTATGATTTAATTTTGGTTTAACCGTTTTATCCCGCTAAGTATCGCTTACTAGTTTAACATCCCGTATGAGGTTTTTCTGGCCAAAACGCTTATATGGTAGATTTTTCAATCCTTATTAAAATGTATCTATAGAAGTTTTTCGAATATGGTTTGATTTTAGTGATAATTAAATTAAGTGTACCTACAACCCGACTAACTCGTAGCCTGATTGACTCAACCCAACCCCGCCCGATTGACCTGAATATTTTATATACTACACCAATCAATAACTAGTACATAAACCAATCAATATAAATTACAATCGGGTTTGGTTTAATCGGAATGCAGATCAACTTGGATTGCGAGTCATTCTAGTTCGGGTCAATCGAGTTGCAGGTTAATCGAATTGCACACCAACCAAGTTGCAGGCCAGACGAGTTGCGAGTTATTGACTTTTAGTCAACTCATGTTGCAGGTTAGTTTGACTGAACGAGTTACTTGTTCGAGTGATAACCGAAGGTCGGCTATCCGTTTAGACAAAAACCGAACCACAAAATTAGTTAGTCGACTAACCGAAACAAAGAATTGGAAAGTAAGTTAGTCGATGGAAGGTGAAACCATCGGATAACCGAACCTCAAAATCCAGTTAACCGATAACCAACCAACTGAATGCTGAAGATCGATTGAAGGTCTCTAGTGTGACGGTTCGAAGAGATTCGGAGTTGGGCTGGAAGGTTGAACCAACGACGAATTAGGAGCAACTGATCTGGGCCACCGCAACAATTGGAACCATAAACTTGGGTAGCCAAAAATTTTAGGTGCCAAAATGTAAAATATAAAAAATTATAGGTACTAAATTGCAATTTACCATTTGGATCCATGCATCAATCCATGAATCCACCAATCTAATTGTATTTGGATCAATTGAATTGTATTTAAGGGGTCGTTTGGAAGTTGCGTATGTTAAATCGTTGTATTGTTATGAATCACTATAATATAAATGCATGCATTGATACAATAGATGCATTTTGAAATTACATTGTTTGGTTGTTGAGATTATAATTTATGAATGACAAAATACATCTCCATAGCCATAAGTTTGCACTTTGTGACAATAATAGCCAAATTCTGAGAAATGCACTAAAATAGCCAGATTTAAATTTTCGTTTGACAAATATAGCCATTTCCGTTAAAAATATTAACGGTGTGAGTCACGCCGTTAGAAAAGTTGACATCACATTGACTTGAACACCATGTCAGCTTCCACATCAGCGCCAAATCATCCTATCATGCCATGTCATTTAAAATTATAAAAATAATTAAATTAAAAAGTAGAAAAGAAGCAAAAATAG